ATGCTTCTTGGGGACAGGGGATGGATCCAGCCTTCTGAGTTCTCCCAGCACTTAGAGGATTCACGCACTCTGCACCTGCTGTTCAGACACTGCGTGGAGCCTTATCATCTCTTGTCTCTTGAGGAACTCAGGGTGGGGTCAGCAGCCTCTTACATGTGGGGAGCAGCTCAGGAAGTCAAGTGATTGTTATCGCTTCATGGCTCCCCAGGGGTAGAGGCCCCTGGAATTTGAACTCATGGTCTCAAGTGTAAACTGTGTGCTCCTGCTGTTTGCTGCTAAGGCCCTCCTGCTTCAGCGGTGGTTGTTCCCAACAGCCTGAGGGAAGCCAGTGTGCAAGGGTTCAGCCCTCCAGCAGCCCCCTGGATGTGTTTCCGGATTCTGAAGAGCTCCACCCAAAAGCCACAAAGGAAGTCAGGGCCCAAATCTGAGCTGCTTTTGACTCAGAGTCGTTGGTTTGTAGGAGTGCCACATCTGCACAGAGTGGCCTTGTCCCTTGGCACACTTCTGTCTATGGGAGTCTTCCCTGGGTGAGAGCTGGGTCTATCCTGGCAGCCTCCAGCAGCACACCAGCTCACAGAGCATGCTCCCTTCCTGCTTCCCCACCAGCCGGCCTGGAGGATGAAGGGACATTGAGAAAGCACTTCTGCCCAGGCAGGGAAGCCAGCTTTTCCTAAGGTCTGCCATGCAAGCACTTATCCCCGGGGGTAGTTCCGGGAGCCCCTTAATCACACTGGTCATCCAGGGGCCAAGCTCTCACCTCAGGAGGGGGCTACCACCACACTTCACAAACTGCCTCAGGGTCTCCGGAGAAGCCGAAGCTCAGATCTCACAGCCCAGAGACACTTGAGAAAACTGAGCCCTGCCCACAGCCTGTGGAGCCCGGAATGAAAGCCTGATGTGGCCATGCAGGGCCAGAAGACGGGAGGGCCTTGGATTCTGATAAGCCAGCGAGAAGCCTGGCACTGCCATTTATTGCGTAAGTCCTAGGATGCCGGTGCGTTACTGGACACCCGGAAGCTTGTTCTGCATCTGTAAAATGGGTTTGAAGAAGACGAAGGTACCGCCCACAGAGACTATTCTCAGGCTTAGGTGAGATGAACATGAATGGCCTTGCCAAGCACTCTATACCTGACAGCTGGGAGGACCCGGCCTGCCAGCCGTGGGTGATGCCACGCCAGCCGTGGGTGATGGCGTGCCGCTCATCACTGTGGCCTGGCACTGGCTCCTGCCCTCAGTGTGGTTGTGGTCATGTCCTATCTCATCCCTCCTGCCAGCGTTATGACGTCCTCTCGGGAAGAGTTATCAGCCCTGCCCCCAGGATGGCTAACCAGCTCCCTTGCCCTGCCCTGCTTTCTCTTCCTCATGGGTTGTTTCATTCTTTCTCTGGAAGTCATCTTTAATCCCTTCGTCACTCGTGACTCAACCTCTAACAAACGCAAGTTGCCCACAGCCGAAGCGTCTCTTGATTTAGGCCATAGGTATTTGTTCTCGTTCTCTCTCTCTCTCTCTCTCTCTCTCTCTCTCTCTCTCTCTCTCTCTCTCTCTCTGTCTTCCCTCCCTCCCTCGCCTCCTCCACCTGTCGTTCAGGCATCCTTCTGAAATGAGCGAAGCAGAAACACACACCTCCCTTCCATCTCTCTTACTCCAGGGTCTGCAGCCTACCTGGTTCCTACCCCACACCATCCATTGACATTGCTCTGTTCCAATCTCCAATCATGGACGAGTGAATCCAGTGGGTACATTTTTTAAGTCCCGTGGCCTGTCCCCACCAGGGTCTGACCAGACAGGTCGGGACAGAAGGCAGCTAGCCCAGGCCTGGCTCCACTCCTGCTTTGTTCTGAGCAAGTCTGACATCCCCAAGCTGCGGTTTCCCCAACTGTAGAACGGTTGTGTGGTGCATGGCCTGCCCGCCTTAGGCAGTGTCCCTGAAGTGGCTCCAGGTCTCTGTTTTTCTACCTGGAAGGCCCACAGGCACAGGAACCTGTTGAGGGGGCCTTTCTCTCCTTTCTCTCTCTTCTTCAGAGAAGAAACTGCGTATAATGTACCGGGTGTATAATAGGTGTTCACTAAGTGCTCGTTGACTGAATAGAGGTTGAAAGGGGGGGGTACGGGGGCGGGTGGAGGCGGGTAAATGTCAACTTGCCTCAGCCTAGAGTGATAGAGAAAGAAGTCATTTCAAAGAATTATCCAGATCTGGTTGGCCTGTAGTTCTGTCTGAAGAAATTATCTTGACTGCTAGTTGACGTGGGAAGACTTAGCACATTGTGGGTGGTGCCATTCTCTAGGCAGGGCATGCTATACAGGGAAGACAAAAACTAGATTCAAGCGAGCAATGTGTGGCATTCGATCATCTCTGCTCTTGACTGTGGCTCTCATGTGACTAGCTGCTTGAGTTCCTTCTCTGACTTCCCCTCACTGATGCGCTGGAACCTGGAATTGTAAGCCGAATAAATCCTTTCATCCCTTCATTTGCTTTTGGCCAGAGTGCTTTATCATAGCCACAGAAATGAGACTGGGATAGAAAGCTGTAAAACAGTATACAAATGTACAACACACATTCTCCTGCTTGTGAATCATCTCCCCAGCCAGGATGCCATTCAAGGCTCACAACGATTGCACATTCATTCATTCATCCATCCATCCATTCATTTATTTTCCAAATAGTCAGTGACTTTATTTTTGTTGTTTGTTTGTTTTGTTGTGATTGTTCATGGACATCTCAATGCCTGGCCTAGAATAAGCATTCATAAATGCTGATGGATGAATGAATGAATGAATGCATGAGTTAAGACTGAGAAGGGACAGTACTCTGGCGAGACACTGAGAGCACAAGGCAAAGAACACACACCAGCTCAGCAGAACAAGAAAACATGTGAACGCATTGGTTCACGGTGAAAATGTCAGAGCAGATGTTAGTACAGGGCAGAGAACAAGAGGGTGGGAAGGTCTGCTACAAATGGCCGGAAAGACTCTTTGGGGAGGAGACTTGTGACAAAGTCCTAAAGAATGTAAATGAGCTAGACTTGGGGTGGTGGTGGCCCCAGGCATGCCCGGCAGGTGAGAAGGGTGAGAGGAAAGACCTGGGTGTCTCTGGGACACTGGAGCCACCGGGGCAGCTGCATCCGGTGTGCTGGACACGGCAGGAAACAGGGAGGCCTCGCTTGCTCCATTCTTATCATATTCGTTCAATTTGAGACAGCCTTACTTTGTAGTTCAGACTGGCCTTGAACTTACTAAGCAGCCAAAGCTACAGAGTGTCCTGAGGGCTCAGACCAAGGTGTGCACTACCACGCCCAGCTGAGGTGAGGAACGGAGGTCCAGTGACTCACCCAGTGCACCCAGGTGCTCAGGATCCTGCTCTACAGAGACCTTTTTGGTTTTCCTTTTCCTTTATTTTTTTAATTTGAGCCAAGTTCTCATGCGGTCTAGGAGGGCCTCAAATGCACTACATTGCCAAGGCTGGCTTTGACCTTCTGTTGTTATTATTATCATTATTATTCATCTATTTACTTTGTGTGTGTACATGCCTGCACAAGTCCACTTGTTTGCCCTAGTGTGCATGTGGGGGTCAGGGGACAATTTTGGGGAGTTGGTTCCCTCTATCCCCATGGGTTCTGGGATAGAGCAAAGGTTGTTAAGCTTAGCAGCCAATGCCCTTACTCACTGAGCCATCTCAGTGGCCCCCAGCTTTGAACTTCTGATCCTCCCATCTCCACGTCCTAAGTGCTGGGATTATAGGCATGCATTACCATGCACCTGATGTTATGTGGTAGAACCCAGGCCTGGTAGAGTACTAGCTGGTCTAGGGTACTTTCTAGATCTCGAACTGAATTCAGGATAACAAAAGTAGCCTGGGAGGATGGAAGTAAGGCATGAATGCCCAGTGTCCTAACAGGAATCTAGATTTCCTCTAGGCTCGTTGGGAAAGTCAAGTGAGGGTCCCATGGGATGAGAGCCAGCACCACAAAGGAACTGGGAGGGCATAGGGCAGAGACCCTGAGGGTTGGCACAAGAGCACTTGGGAGCGGGACAGGGTTTCCCAAGTGAGGACTCTGGCCCCCCAAAATAATGAGTAACAGGATCTTAGAGCCTTTCAATTCTTTATTAAGTTACCCAGGTAAAAATTGGGGGTGGTGGGTGAGGGGCGTCCGCTAGCTACACTTTGAGAAATAAACAAGATCCTAGCTGGATAAACCTAACCCTCACAGGTACCTGTGGCCACTTACGCAAGCCTTCGCCAGGCAGTGCCCACCCTTGCCTCCCCGAAGCAGCCCAGAGTCTTCCACCCTACTCGGATACCCCACCCCGACATCAGGTCCCTGTCCCCCCTCTCCATCTTACCACTAGAGTCCAATAAAAGTTTTACCCCAGCGGCCCTGTGTCCCGGAGGCTTTGTGAGGCCAAAGGCGGCCTCCCGGGGCGTGCCGGCTAGTGGGATCTGGGGTCCTGTCCTGGGAAGCGCTCCGGGCCAGCTGGAGGCAGGTCCACTGGGTGGGCCGCAGCCTGCATCTGGAGTCCCCTTAGCAGCAATCGCGGAGCACAACCAGGCCAGCACTACCGAGCCCCGGAGCCTGTTGGCTCGCAACCTTCCACTGCAGCCCTTTCCCGACCCCGCCCGGTCCCTGAGCGCTTCCTACCGTGGGCCGCTTCCATTCGATGCCCCGAGTTTTGCTGGAGTAGGGCCCCAACTCCTTGAAGCCCAGAGAGGATGGCAGGGCGGGGAAAGAAGGATCCTGGAAGAGCGCCCCGGCCTCCAGGCACTCGTTCCGCAGCGTCTCATAGTCCTGGTTGAGGTACTTGATGGCTCTCTCGTGCGACCCCAGCCCCTCGGCCGCCTCGCGGTCCTTGGCCAGTTTGATTGCGATGCCCGCCATGGTGCCAATCGGACTGGCTCACTGCACAGGGAGAGGGGGGCGCGGAGACGCGGGGCGCTGCGCTCGGATGGGGTGCGGCCGGGCCCGGGGCGCTGCAGCGGACTGCGGGAGCCGCTGCTGCAGGCGATGATTCACCGGCGGGAAGCGCCTGGGCCGCGGGGTGTGGCCTCCGTCTCTCCCGGCCTGCCTGGCGCCTGGCCCCGGACGCGGCCAGCCGGGGACCTGCACAACGCCAGCCCGACCGTGGAGGACTGCGGGGCCGCTGCTGCCACCTTCGGACGGTTCCCGGGATGGCGCGACCCGGTGGCAGGGGACACTCTCTTAATTGGGGTGGGAAGGCTGGGCGAAACTCAGCAATGACTGTCCAGGAAACATTGGATGAGTCAGTAGCAGTGTGAGCGCAGAGACTAACCCGGTTGCCACTCACTGGCTCACGATCCTAACAGTTCTGCAGACTGTGGACACATACGCCAACAACTGCAGTTCTGTGAGAAGTGGCTGCCGGTGTGCCCATCTCACAGATGAGAAACTGAGTCCCATAGAAGCTCAATGATGTAACCCCATGAGTCAAAAGCTAGTCACAGGCAGAGCAGGGATTCTAAGGCCCCAGGGCCTCGGTCTGCGGTTACCGGACAGTTATTTGTGCACAAATAGGGTTGTACAATTTGGCAAAAACCAGCCATGCAAGTTAAATCTGAATTTCAAGTAAAGGGAAAAGTGTGGCTTTTAGTACACATTGCCCTCAAATATCATCCAAAGCAAACCTCTCCTAGAATAACTATGTAATGCCTATCTAAAACTCAAATTTACCCAGGAGGATTTATTGAATTAATGCTGGGAGAGTATTTAGAATGGAGCCCATGTTGGTGGCTGGTGCCATCACTCTGTCCAAGGAGAGTTTCTGAGTTGCCGCTCACATACAGAGAACATGCTTCTGGAATGAATACTGGGAAGGCTTAGTATCTGGGCTATGAATGGTGTAAAGCAGGGGTTCTCAACTGGAGGCAACCCCCACCCACCCATGTGACCCAAGTGGCTTTTGACAATAACTGCAGACATTCTTTGTATCATCACAACTGGGAGGGGAATCCTGGCCCCTCCTGAGTGGAAGCCAGGGTGCTCCCCCAGGATCAGTGGGCCTGGGGCAGTGCTCTACCAAGAGAAGAGCAGGAACAAGGCAGTCTGAAGTGTCTCTCTCTGTGCGGGACCCAGGAACTGCCCTCCAGGCCGTCTGGTCCAGCATTGTTTCTGAGTGAGATTGTAACTTTGGAAGTTGTAGGTAACTGTAACAACTTGAAATATCTATGTAACATGCAGATGACCGTGTCCCTGGAGATATCGAAGTGTCTTTCTCCCTGTGGCAGTTTGTCTGTTTGCACTGTCAACTCGCTGTTCTCCCGGGTGCCTGAAGCAAATCCAGTGTCTTTCTTCCACTTCTCTTTGGGATCCTGGGCCCAGAAGAAATCAGAGTGAGGCCAATGGAAATCAGACAGCGGGGGG